GGAACAGCCCAACATGCAAATTAAAACTTGGAGATACCAAATCAAGCAAGTACAAAAATTGAAATATCTGGGAAGTGTTTTAACGGAGGATAAAATCCAAGGACACATTGGGATAATGAAATATGATTTCCAAAAACTAAGCATAGTCTTAAGAAACAGAAAAAATTCATTAAAAACCAAGAAAAGAGTACTGAATTGTTACATAATGTCTTTCCTCCAGTATGGCAGTGAATACTGGATAACTTATTCACAGATGAAGAAGAGATTTGAAGCAACAGAAATGTTTTAGAAAATGATGCTGAGGATACCATAGACTGAACATGTGATTAACGAGAAAGTTTTATAAAAAATGGAAAAAAAAAGGGTACTTATACTTAATAGAAAGAGAGTAGAAATTTATTGGGCACATCATGAAGAAAGCAGGCTTGGAAAATTTGATGCTCACAGGACAGATTGAAGGCAATAGGGAGAGACGAAAACAGTGCATAACCTACCTAACAAACTTGTGTAAATTTTTGGCAGAATAAGATTTAGGACAGATTGTGAAAAAAAATTTATTAAGAGCTATAAAGGATAGGAAACCATGGAGAGCTATAATTGCCAATGTTCTGAAGATAAATGACACAGAGAAGAAAAAGATAAAATTGGCACTTTTACATTTATGTAAATTTTAAGAGAGAGGTTCATTGTAATGTAATGACACTATTCAAGTAACAAAAAATGCTCATGTCACATCATAAAGCATATTTTGATTTACCTTACTAAATTTAAAATAATTTCATAATAAATAAAAAATTAATATTTATATTATTTAAAGAATATTATCTTTTTCCTATGTTGTATAAAAATAATGCTTACATACAAAATTTAAAATAATGTCAAGAGATTTTATTTTTTATTTATGATCTTGAGAGATTAATCGATAACAATAATATGAAAAAAAATTTATTACAGAAGTTCATTTCTGCAGAAATGCTGGTGATTCCTTTATCATTAAGACAATAATCTGAGACATACTTTGAAAACATTCTCAGAATAGTTTTAGAAGTTAAGATCATTAAATGACTTTCTCAATTACCCTGACCTAAATCCAGCTAAACATTTGCAGCGTGAAATGAAATAGTAGTTTATAAACAGAAACCATTGAACCTGAACAATCTGAAATGATTCTACATAGAAGAATGGTCAAGAATGCCAATTTCAGGATGCAGAAGCCTTATCAAAGACTACAGAAAATGTCTATTAGCAGTGATCAGTGCCAAAGGAAACGAAACTCATTTGATGAGATTGAATACTGATGCAAATATCATAAGAAATTATTGATAATTATGGAAATAAAATATTAATTCTTTCTTATTTACACTATTTATATTGTTCAGACTGTTTTCTTCAACTTTGTTGCCATATTCACAATATTTAGACTGTTGTATGCTTCAGCACTCTACAGGTGACTATTTACATTGTTCAGACAGTTGTCCTCATCATTGTTGCCATATTCACAATATTTAGGCTGTTGTATGCTCCAGCACTCTTCAGGTGATTGGAATTTCAAACTGAACCCTTTATTTCATCCACCGAGATAGATTGATCTAGTTCTACATGCCATGCCTCTTGCAGATATTTCAGTTTCAGTTATTTCCTTTTAACTCAACTCTCCAAGATTTTGTTCACCTCTGCTGTGGACAGGTATTTAACTCACAACTCTTTGACACATAGCCCAATAGATAAAAGTGTTGGTTGAAGCAATCCAGTGACTTGACCCAATGAGTTATAATAAATAATTACAGTACATCATCTCAGAAACATAGACAGATAATTCTTTCTTATTTATTATCATTTCATATATTAAACTCTTCTAGATACTTCTGTATTAATGCAGGTGTACCACAGGACTCTATCCTTGGCCCTACTTTGTTCTTAATTTTCATCAATGATCTTCCTGATGGTATCAGCTTTCAACTTGGTATCTGTGCTGATGACACAACCATTTGGATCAATCTCAATAGTAAATCTGATCAGTTCAATAAGGTCAAAATGGTAGCTGATCTCAAAAAAGACCTTCAGTCTGTTGTTAACTGGGGTAAAGGATGGCATGTTAATTTTAACGCCTCCAAAACAAAACTGCTCTCTATTAATCATATGTGATATTGATCATTTGAAAAGTTGGCCCGTCAAAGAATACCACTCCCCAAATATGAGATTTGTCCATTTAGTTAGATATTGGAAAGTGGGTTAAGCTGAGAAATTTTCTGATATGCATATGCATATATATATATATATATATATATATATATATATATATGAATTGCAATCAGATACAGACTGTCCAAACGAGTTGCAGGAGATTCCAAAGTCACCTTAAGGCCATGGTTGAAGCTAATGCTGATTTTATTGAATAAATTTACTCTTTAGTATTTCAAGATATTTTTGTATAATTTTGGTAACTATATCTGTTAAAATGAGATGTCAGTGTTATTTTCATTTTTGCATAATTTAGTTGACAATTTATCCATTACACTCTGTAGGTATGGTATGTGTAACAGACTTTTGTACAAAAATAAAAATCGCTGAACTGAGTTCAAATTCTGGTCACTTCTGCAAAAGGTAGGTATGTATGTGTGTGTGTATATATATATATATATATATATATATATATA